TTATAAGGGGTTATGAATAATTATCGCACCTGCTAAAAAGAAATGAAACTGCAAAGTACAAACATTATTTTATTAAATCGTTTTGTAATCCTTTTTAATATGGATGATTTTACAGATTTTTTAATTTATCTTAAAAATAGAATTTTCTTTATAAATACCTAATAATAATTTAATACGCCTGGTATAAAGTATATTTATGTCACAATGATTATTTACATTTCATAAAATGTATTTAACAAAAGCTTACCAAAGTTGGCAATCTTTTAACAAATATATTGCAACCAAAGTTTCTCGTCAAGTTGGAATGTAATAATTTCTACCGTATGATCGAAAAAAAAACGCCGTCAGCGATGGCTATGAAATTAAGATCGCTGTCATTTTCTACAGGGTGGCGCACCTCATTCGCCTCGGTTGATTATACGAAAACGGAAAGATGTAGAAACAAAATATTTTATGGTTATATGTGGGGAGGTAATGTGCACAATTTAAAATTATTTTGAAATGTACAGGGCGTTTCAGAACTAAGATCCATACCAAAGTTATATTTTTTCTTATGGAACACCCGGTATTTTATTTCATTTTTGGATTCTTGTGCCAAAAAAAGGTATTTATTATAAGGGTTAAATATGTTTAAAATCTTTGGTTTTTGAGATATTTAAAGATAGTTTCTAGTGACAGTTAGTAGCTATTTTCAAAATTTGTTTATGGACTTATTTAAATTTATACCAGTTTATTTTTATTTAATTTACCTACAATAGTTTAATAAATAATATGTATTAAATATGTGTATATTATTCTATCAAGAAAAACGAAGAAGTAGTTTATGAATTAGTTTAAGATGACTTGTAGATATATGGATTTTCTATAAAATAGCCAATTACGGCAAATTTATTTTATTCACTTCCAACGACAGGTTTCTGCCTAATAGGTTTTTTTTATATACCACACTACCAGCTCTGCGATCTGCGCAATAGGCAATAGGACAAGAAGTTTTTCAAAGAAACGCTTATCAGGAATCAGGAAGATTCCTATTTGGATATCTTTGAGCATAAGCCCTTGAGGCCAAGAAGCCAATCAAAAATAATGAATACTTATTAAATTATTGTAGGTAAATTTAAGTAAACTGTTATAAATAATAATGTCCATAAACTAATGTCGACTTTGAAAATAGTTACTAACTGTCACTAGAAAATTGCCATGGCGACACCAGCCATCTTGATTGCAATTTTATTTAAAAATCGCTTTTTATTCAAAATATGAGCTAGATAGGTATGAGAAACCCTAATATAGTTTGAAAGAGCATTTGAATCTGCTACGATTTATTCAAAAAATACAGGGTGTTGCATTTGAAATAACGAAGTTTTTATATAAAATATATCCTTAAAATAGATCAGCAATTTTTGATAGCCCTGTATAAATTTAAGGAACCAATACCATTTTTCAGTA